GATGCGGGGCTTGATCCCAGGACCCTGGGATCATGACCTGAGCCGAAGGCAGATGCTTAACGACTGAGCCACCCAGGCGCCCCTAGTCTTTGGATTTTAAAAATATTTTGAAACACCCTACTATTTATAATCTGCCAAAGAGATTTCCCTTGTTGAAAGTCAGTAGTAATTTCTATGTAAATATTAGATTAGCAAACTTTGTTTCAATTGTATGTTAATAGTCAAGCGTTAAAAATCATTGTAAAAGTACAAGAAAATTTAGAAAAATTACTGATAATCCTACCATCTAGAGATAATCAATTTTGACCCAGTTTTTGGATCCACTTTTAATATATGGAAGATTATCCTACATATAAAATAAGATACAAAAGTCTTATATCTTATTTTCCCACTTAATTATACCAGGAACTTTTCCTATGTCATTAAAAATTCGTGTACACAATGTTATGGCTACATAATAATTCATCATAGGAATGTATTATACTTTATGTTATCATTTTCTTATTGCCAGATATTTAAGCCATTTCCCTTTTATTATTGTTGTTATTATAAATAATATACCTGTATGTTCTATTATTTCCTTAGGATGAATCCCGCAAAGAGTAACGCTAAGTGGAGGGTATAATCATATTTAAGGTAAAGAAAAAATATCATCACATTGCCCTCCAGAAAGACTGTACTAATTTATATTCCCACCAGTAGCATTTACCTATTTTGCTACACCATTGCTGGCATTGATGAATATTATTTGATCACAAATTCACTAATTTGATCATTTTTAATGGGCTATGTTTTAAATGAATTACGAGTCACAATCATCAAAAAGAACAAATTTAAAAAATATATAAATAAGAAACAATATAAAAATTCCAAGAATGGTCAGTATATGACAGTGTTCTAGGGCTGCAGATGTTTATTTCATATAAAATTAAAATGCAAACACTGTCTTTTTGGGAAAAACTAAGATGCCATTTAAAGTATAAAACATATAGGGGCACCTGGCTGGTTCAGTAGATACAGCATGTGACTCTTGATCTCATGATCCTGAGTTCAAGCCCCATGTCGGGGGTAGAGTTTACTTTTAAAAAAAGTATGAAGCATCAATTTACTAGGTAAAAAGAGCACATATATATGTAATGAAATATATATAATGAAAATGCAGATAAAATTGCTATTGTGATTTCAGAAAGCAATGTTAAAGATGAATGTGGTGGTTAGACTGCAAGATTTATTTGTAATAACTATGCATTTAGTACATAGTTATTACACAAACCTCTCCCTTCTGAAGCTGTAATTTTTTATTTTTTTAAAGATTTTTTATTTATTTATTTGAGAGAGAGAGAGAGAGAGCACATGAGAGGGGGAGGGCCAGAGGGAGAAGCAGACTCCCCGCTGAGCAGGGAGCCCGATGCGGGACTCGATCCAGGGACTCCAGGATCATGACCTGAGCC